TATAGCGAAAATTAACGCTAAACATGATAAATATATTATATAATAATATAATAAATAATCCGAAGATAAAACTATGTGCGAGTGTGCGCATGCAGTGCTWGAAATATCCCACATGGAACATCAGCAGTTCATTTCGTCTTATAAATAGCTAAAGTAGTCTATATTGTATAAGAGCTTCGTACTTGTTAGTGTCGTGTAATTATAAGTAATACCATGGCAATGAGGGATATTAGTGATTAAATGTCCCCGAAGCCGAGGGAGGTTTTGTGGAAGGCCCGAGGCCGTAGGCAGAGGGACTTTTACTAAACCTTCCGAGGCAGAGGGGACATTTAATCACTAATATCCCGAAATTGAAATTCGCGTATGTTAAGTGTAGAAATCACACATATTTGCAAAAATTATGGCCGCTAATATATATGTATATTTAATCGGGAGGATATAACTCATGATTCGGTCGTACTTACCTGTTGGAAGAGGCTTGCCCAGTGGACATGCATCAGGACAGCAACAGTTGTGTTCTACTTCCAAAATCTGTTCAAACATATCAAAAATAGCATTAGAGCTACAACGATGGCTTGTAAACAGGAACAACACACAAGATTTATTTAATCATTCACATTAATAGCAAAAATCTAAATAAGATAAAATAATAAAACAAAGAATAACAAAATCTCTCAAATCCTTACTGTACTATGATCATTGTCGTCGATAACCGAAAACAGGGCATCATGCAAACCTTCCCTTTTTGGGTTGCACTTCAGCCGGACCCGTGTTCTCTCGGACGGGCTGTTGATATGAGTATATAAAAACGAAAATCGATTAGCAATTTTATACACACCTATTTCCAAAGGCGTTTTCAGTTGGAGATCTGAAATCTGAGACAAAAAGGAATTGTGGGCTGCAAGCTAAGAATTGTTTTAATAAGTGAACAATTATTCGCCGAAGGGGAAGTGCATATCGAGTAATATTTACCGAGACGCGAGTCTTATATTCACTGAGACTGAGGCGAATAATTGTTTTTGTATTTTCAACACAAGTGAATATAATAAATAACGGAGAAAGAGTATTTTAGTTTTTCAAATTCTATTCATCTCTGCAAACAGCACAAATCTACAAGCGTGCGTGCGCGGTTAGCTCAGTTGGTAAGAGCGTCGGTTTGTTGTGTGGTCTGTTGCGGGAGGTCGTGGTTCAAGCCTCGGCCGGACCAACACTCAGGGTTTTAAAATAACTGAGGAGAAGGTGCTGCCTTTGTAGTTACATCTGCAAATGGTTAGACCTTCAAGTCTTCTCGGACAAGGACTTTAAACCGTAGGCCCTGTCTCCCAACCCTTCCTAACCTACAGTAAATGGGGGACATAAAAGAACCACTGAGGACGTAAAAAGAAACCCTGGCAGTGACCACCTTCAGTGCCTACACTTCATACTAATCATCTCTCATGCTTGTAAATTGCATAAAAAGCAATCTGTCATTCACAACTCCCATGTAAAGCGCCTTTGATTATATCCACCATATTAAAGGGCGCTATATAAATCATAATCATCATCATCATCATCTAGCAGCATAAGACGTAAATTGTGACAAATGAGTGCGCCGGATTTATCATATTCACTTGTGTAAAAATACTATATATATATATATATATATGTATATTAATTAGTATTCCTCATAAGTTAATATCTAAGTGAGCAACCTTTGAGCAATGACCTGCGCTGGCGTTGTCAGGCTACGTGTATTTTGGATTTTTAACGAGAAAACACTCACTCCCCCACAATTCCACTCGGTGTCAGATTTTAGATGAGGTAAGCTGAGTTGGATTCGTGATATTGATTAGGGGTATTATAAATTTGTTTGTATCCTATAATAATGATTGTCATTTATAATCATCATTATCATCACCATCATCATATCATATCATATGTAACTATATAGAACAAAATATATAATAAATTGGCTTAGCCTTAGAAGGAACAGGAAAATAATACTTAATAATCAAACGTTCCCCCTGTGGTTATGAAATTGTCATAAAATGTGTAATAATTTTAAATTGTGCTGTGCTGTGCTGTGCTGTGCTGTGCTGTGCTGTGCTGTGCTGTGCTGTGCTCACTTGTTTGGCACTTGGAACACTAGTTCGTTCTGTTCTTGTTCTAGCTGACATTGTACATTTCGTTGGAGTCCCAAGGCAGCATAAGTTGTTTCGTCGTTGTTCCAGCGACAAATCTATAAATTAGAGAAGCAAACTGAACTGCAAGCTTACAATACCTTGGAAATATTATCGCGATTAACAATGATAGAAATCATCATCATCATAAAATTGATGATYGTGATTATGCTCGATCATGCTAATAAACTTTATTACACATTTATTAGGTGTCAATATCCTTGTGATAAAGCCGTMAATAAAAATGTAAAGTTGATACGATATCACTTCAAAGTAAAATTTAAGTGGTAAATCACGTTACTCTTGAATTAAATGATTAATATTTTAGAATATAGGCACCAAACACAATCAAGTTCATKTTCTCTTGGTAATTTTCTTTAAAGAAAGCCCAGCTTATAATCGGTGTGTAGGCTGYTAATGCAAATTTCAGGTTCCTTSAAATCCATCACGTGCATGGATCTTTRCACCTGATAATAGYTCAACATGSATATCTTTATTTAAAGATTTTGAARTCTTCATAAAGGATAAAAAGAGTACAAGAGCATGGCATGAATAAGGACCCTAAATGCTCATTAATTRATTATGAAGTTTTGAAGTCGTCCAATAACATATGACAGTGAAAAGCTCWGCAGTGCCGTATACATGCCGWGCCGCGACYGTGATGTTTTCTAGAATTTGAAATGCCTGATTGTTTTTTCGCGCAATGTGGTTGGTTTCGACAGTGCTGTGACCTYGGCGYGACCGTGTCCGCGCAGTGTTCGTGCCGTTTTTCGGACATTTGAYTGGATGGAKAGTAAATTCTCGTGCAATGTGATTGGTCTGACGTATCCCTTGCTGTGTCACGACCGTGTTCGTGCCGTGAACTTTTCACAGTCATACGAAAACTGCTCTAAAACCACTCGACTACGCCTCGTGGTTTTAAACCTGATAAAACACTCCTGCTCGTTTATTAAACTATAGATAAAAATATTAACTTTCCAATGAACTTGACAATCAAAATGAATGTCCACATCAATTTGTTTGTTGTTGATTTTATTGATACTTAGATATACCTAGACTCTGCATTAGTGTCGTTAGAGACGGTWCTTTTTTTACCAGAAATAGGAACAATACCCTAGTTAAACAGGGCCAAAATAGCTTTTGAAAATGGGTACCATCTCCGCGGCAAAAAAGTGGCTTCAAAATGGAACGAAAACATCCCCAAAAGAAAGAAAGCAAATGCAAATAAATGCCCCTAGTTAAAAAGGGCCAAAAAAGCTCTCGCRATTAAACATAAGCACATGACTGAAGAAGGAAATCTCTCGATCGTTTACAACACAAAAACTCTTATATKTCTATTTGGGTTGTGCTTCCATCGTCCGTAAAGCCWGTATAAWGTTGAATATCTTACCGCTACGTTTTTACACGGGGCTTTTACTGTAAATGGAATACATGGATTGTATGCAAAGTTCCGGCCATTCACATCCTTTTCAAACCTTAGAAGAGATGGCACCAGAACGTATTAACATTGACARACACAGACATACATAAAAAGGACAGGCAGATAGGTAGACTTAAGCATAAGGCACTAATATTCGTATACTGAATGGCTTTAGGTATGATGGAGTGGTTCTTTGGAATAGCCTCCCAATAGTCCCTTTCACAGTTCCCGGCGTCATATTGAAAGGTAGCCGTGCCTTTACATCAAASCGAGACGAACGGTGAGCTTCCAATGATAGAGACGTGAATAATTGTCCAAAGTGTTTAAAAAAAGGTCTCTATCATTGCAAATTCACTGTTTTTTCTAGCTTCGATGTATAAAGGCACGGCTACCTTTCAAGAAGGCGCAGGGAACTATGAAAGGTATTATTGAGTTAGGGCAATCAAAGACCCTTCATAGTGCTCGTGCTGGCTGTAAACACCAAAATAAACCTGAATATAATTACTGAGCATGGCAATTTTTGGCACGGTGAACTTAGTAGCGAACTTACCTCGGGAAACCATCCGAGCTTGCTAGTGGGCCTAGATTATAAAGACGACCTCTGAGTTTGCAGGAACAAGGCGTTCCCACTGCTGTAGACGTTTGGTAGAAAAGTGTACAGCAGTAAAATGCAACGAGAAGTGTTACTTGGATTGGCATATTTCTTCGATATGCAGTATCTTGCATAGTTACTTTATAGTACCCTGTAATTTACCCTGCAACACGAAGTTTATGATTTATCATATATATACAAGTATATCAAAAGCATATCAAAAATATTATGGGGTCTCATCCCTGATATTTTGGTTGCCGAGTTGTCTATCACTAGGGCTTTCTAAAAAAAATATCAAAAAAAGATACCCCGCCGAGTGTGATATACTTTTGATAAACTAATTGAATGTACATGAAACGGCCATAATTTTTGCAAATGGCATTGTATATATATACTCCTCATGGCTGTGCAGGAATTTTTTGGACATAATTTTGATTTTTTTTTTTTTTTTTTTTTTTTTTTTTTTATGCACGTTTTCTATTTTCAATCTATAAAGCTGTGCTCAGTTCTTTTTTCTTTTGGTTTTTGCCCACCCCCCGCCCTCCCCTCCCCCTCAAAAATCTAATGGTCCGTCCCAAACTGCTCTAGGGGTAAAGTCCGTCAAGCAACACAGGAATGTGCTAAGATTGCGACATAGGAACTTAGAGCCCACATTAGCTAAAACTTATCTAGTGAAGATTTCTTTGAAAAATATACCCACACATTTACTGATAGCTAATTACGAAATCTAGCTTTCGACCGTACACACGAGTGGCCCTACCCACCCAGCAATAATACAGAATTTGTTAATTTAAGACGGCGGAAGTACGGAAAAGCAATGTCACTGGTAAATATTCCATGCTAAATTTGCGAGTATTTGTCAAAGTGCACAGACAATCTTAGTCCTGTCGCCAGCATGTGGTTAGAATACGGATGGCATTGATTTCCCTGCAAACTATTTAAAGATAAATATAGTTTTTATTCGAATCAAATCGCAGAAAGCATAGGAAATGTGAACGTAAACTTCTGAACTGATTTCTTAAACTTCTGACTTTATGAGCAACGAATATCATAACGACTTTAGAAAAAAAAGGTTTCTATTTAGTTTTAATGTTAACTTCCTTCTGTAAAAAAAATTGTTTATTAAATATAGTATATCTAAATCAGCTTACCTTTTTTCGGCATAAGAGTATGCTAATCTATACGTGTAGAATAACCCAGTCTACTCGTTGTTTTACTAAGGTTGACTAGCAGAACTYCTCTCTCTAGGGCTCTCTAGCTTCTAATCAGCTGTCCTAAGGAATGATATGATCAGTATATTCGATTTCTTATTGATATCTATCTGATTGTTTAAGATTTTCAAACGCTTTAAGTAAGGTAGAACTAATTTTAAAGTTTTATCGATCAACTTTCTTGGAAAAGSTATTCCGAGACATGAATTGTTTGTGTCATGTGAGCGCGTTACGTCTAGAAAGTGAAAGTAGTTCGAATTGCGTGACTTTATACAGCAAGCCTTGAGAATCGTTAATAGTGTGTTATCTGTTTTTTCTTTTTGAAGTGTGTGTGTGTGTGTGTGTGTGTGTGTGTGTGTGTGTGTTTTGTTGTTTTTTTTTTTCAGCGAAAAAGCCTCGAAAAACGCTTGTTTGGGGCTTTCAATCACGAATAAATAAAAACGTGAATCACGTTTCACGGAAAAATACACCCGCCATTCACGCTAAGCACGCTGATAGCGTGACTGACTTAGGAAAGGTCTGGATACGAGAGCGGTATGTTTCCGTGTTTACTCTCTTCATCAATAGAGCAGCTCTTCATAAATTCCATACGCTGTCTTCAACTGAGGTAAGAGTGAAATATTGTAGTAAAATAGCAATTCAATGTATCCTTGGTAGAAAGTATATCATCACTGCTTATGCAGCCATCTTTAAAACAAATTACTCTTGAAGACAATTCTATTTTGTCAGGTCTTGTTTTGAGTGACAGTTGGTCGAGACATCAGGAAAGAGGCTCTGTTA